CACGACCTTTCACTCCAAGAAGGGAAAAGGCAAATTCCTCTTGCAAGGCTCCATAATTTGCTGTTTGTCTGTCTGTATATATATAGTCAAAAAAGCAGTAACAATAAAATCCTGTCCAAAGTACCAGGGGGGAAAGGTGGGTGGCTCCAGCGTAGCAGTTAGTGCAGTGGAAGACCCCGTTCTCCTGCTGCCGGTGCGGCCAGAGAACGTGCCAGCACCGCACCAGGAGTGCAAAGAAAATGCATCCTAATGGGAACAACCAAACTAAACAAAAGCCATCCTACATCCACAAAGCAGCGCTTCTTACCGGAGGAGAGAGACAGACTGGGCAAGTGAAGTTGATCAGTCTGTCCATCTCTCCCTACATGTAAGAGATTTCATCTTCCCTTCATATCAATAGTTACGATTTATCTTCCCTTCTTCATTTTAAACACATTCACGTGACATCCCACAGCAACATTTTGGTGTGAGGTTACAGTCCCACTGCCGTTACAATCAGACTGTACAGCAAACAGCTCCGGTCCTCGTCCCCTTTGAGCCGAAAAGGAGCAGAAATTTCCCAAAGTGTTTAATTAAAACCTCTCTTTGGGCATATCTGCGGTCACAGGTTAACACAGGTGCCTTGGAACGCTTCAAGTATTGCTCTTTAACCAGGAACATTTCAGACCCCGCTTTATTCTGAGTCAAAGCGAAGGGGAAGCAGAAGCTCTCAAGCCTTACAGGAGCCTCATGACTCTCTGGGCGGGTATCTGCCCAGCCAAAAATCCTCCCTGACCTCACTGAAAGTTTAACTCCGTGGCTCCCTTGCATCGCCAGCCCCACAGAGCTGCTGCTACCGCTGCCCTCCAGACCGGGCACTGTGGCACAGACCCGAAGCCGCTGTAGCTCCAGGTAACTCATGCTGCCTTTATCTCCTCTCTTCCAGGCGAAGAGAAAGCGCTCGGCAATTCTCCACTGCCCTGGGGGCTCCAGGCACGTCCTCTCCGACCCCGTAAAGCTGCAGCCCATCCTTTGCGGCACAGAAAGGCAAAGGGAGCGAGGTGACCCCGCTCCCCCCGTCCTCACTAACCGGGTACTTCACTACCCGCGTTTTCTTCGCACCCTTTCACTCACCCACTCCAACCATTTGCTGAGCTGGAGCCTGAACCAGCTGGAAAAGCAGCGCTGCCCCACAGTCCCAATCTTTCCCACTCTCCCCCCCCCAAAAAACCTACAGCTGTATAAAACTTAGCTCACTACCTGATGAAAACACCTACGTATTTCAAAAGGGGTACAGCTGGATAAGAGTTGAGAAGTACAGCCGCTAACACAACCTTCTGCGCAGTGCAGCGGGTGGAAAACATTCCCGTTTCAATTTTTCGCTAGGCAAAATGCCGCTTTTCCCAGGAAAGAATCACACGCAACTGCTGGGTACCACGTTAGAGGATTTCTGTACCGTCTTTCAAAAATTTATTTAACAGCTTCTCAAACTTCCACTAAACTTGGTTTCTTACATCATTTCTATACACAGTCGGATCTTGTTTGTTATTGTCGTCTTGAGGCTTATAAAAAAAATATAAGCATTTAAAATGCCCAAAGAGTAATTTTGCTTTAAAATTGTGCTACTGAACTTGACCCCCAACATAGAAGAGATACTTTTGGTAATGAGGTTACCCCAAGCAGTATAAAAATATACATAAAAATAGACAAAAACTCTATCCTCCAAACTGAAGGTCTGTTCATGGGAATTATTAATTATTATTATTTTTTTTTTTGTACATCACTGGAATTTCATTATCTTCTGCTAAATATTTACAGAAACGTACCCACCCCCACCTGTACACCTCCACTCACTCCGGCAGAGAACCGCGGCGCTCGGCTCACCCACAGCCTTTTCTGTCGGCAAAAATTAATCGCCGCCTCTCGCCGTGGCACGCAAAGTGACGCTCCGGGCACATGCGTCCCGGGGAGCGCTCGCCGACAGCCCTCGCTGCCGATGCCAAACAGAAATGAGGCGACACTAACTATCGCTGCTAACTTCACCCAAGGGGGTTGAGATCGCCTTTGCCTCCCTGCGAGCGCCCCGCGTGCCGGCAGCCGTACAGCGCCC